TGCAAATCAAAGTCGTTGGAACACTGGGTGCCCAACACCGGTGCGATCTTCCGCTCCGCTCCCCGATGCTCGGACCTACCCAGGTTGCATTTGGGCATGCAGCCGGAGACCAGTGGCAAGATGCGTTTGCTCGGAGGGGACTTCTTGTACGCCGAGGTGGGGACTTCTTGTGGGCCACCAAAAAAGATGCCCAAAAGCGAGCCTCACCATGAGGGTACCGTTGTTGTCCGCCCTTTAAATTTTGCATGCCGATTGCAATGGATTCACTGGCAAGTGGAACCGAAGAGCAGTTCTGAGTTTTATGGTCAGTTTCCTTCTTACTTGCAGCGCAGCGCAGAAGAATAGTACTATCCAGAAGGCGGAATAATAAGTTTTAGCTCACAACCAGGATGCCTTCTCTTTCGAGTGACAGCTTTCGGATATATATATATATAATGCTATTTGGATAGACTATCTCGCGGAACCCGCCCGGTGTACCCGCCCCCTTCACCGTGCCTGTGGAGTCCTGGGAGCCAGGGCCAATGGATGTTAGCTGAGCTTGGCTCTTTGCCCGTGATTCGACTCACCTCTCGGATGATCCAAGCTACCTGGCAGTGGCGGCGTATGAGGAGGGTGGCGTTGAGACCGGATGGATGATCCAGACCACCCATGGTACGGAATGTGTTGACACTCCCTGGAAGTAACATGGAAAGTGGATGGCATGGCCCCGTGGCCTCGTGGAAGACCAGACCAAACAGGGGGGTTGTCCATTCCAGGGAGGGTCATATTGACCCTGAAACGGCCAGTCCCATGGATGGTGTGATGGAGAACTCTCGAGGTGTCGTGGAACGTTGGGGGGGGAGTCGGGCGCACCCCAAAAAACACCTGCTCAAATGGCTTGGCAGGTCCGCACCTCATGGCACCTGCATCCGAGGATGTCTCCGATGGCTCGTCCAAGGGGGGAGCGGCGCCTGCGGACATGGAGACCTTCAGTGTGGGACAAGTAGGCAGGGCCAGCTGGACGTGTGAACTTTGGAGAACGAGTGTGGCAAAAAACGGAGTTTTCCAGTGACCAAATCGGCGCCTTTTGGACACTCGCCGTGTTAATGCGTTACTTCCCTCAACCAGCCAGAAGTCTGGACTGTCCAGAAAAGCTGCAGATTGGAGGAATAGCCCAAGTCGCTCCTTTTGGTATCTACCCTTGGCCCAGCAGAAGTAATTTTGTCTTGCAGGTGCCAAGGCCGCATTGCATGCCGCCTACATCCGCGTGGGTAGTGCCTGGTCGGACACACATTGTCACATGGTGGTTCTCCATGGCAATGGCGTCATACCATTGCCAGTACCACAAAATGACCACGAAAATGAGCAGTCTCCAGGCCTGATCCGGATATTGAGTTCAATGATGTTTTCTCTTTGGATATTTCTTCATCTGGAGGCTAAGATCAAGACATACTGTAGTAATTTTGTGTCCAGCTGATCCAAGTTGTCCATCAAACATTTGTAGCTGAGCCAAGAACAATTATTGAGGGATCAGAGCCGGCCCAAAGGCATTGCTTGATCCTAAGGTGAGATTGAAGGCGAAACATGGCGAAACCATAAGACAATATCCCAATTCCCCCGTAAGCATGCTTGTCCCGAGCTCTGAGCTGGAGAGATCAACTCAAGTGTCAAGGGATGCCAGGTGAAAAGGACAGCAACATTGCGTAAACATATGTAAACATGCATGGGTGTGTATTTGAATAGGGAGGGGCCGCCAACCAATGGTTATTACAGTCTATATTCCTTGTAGGGGGGCGAACTGGGAGGTCTCCCTACCTTCACTTCTCACACACAAACAAACATGTAGTTTCACAGGACTAGATGCGGGGATCCTTTGTCCAATGGCCGTCATGTTTGTTTTCTGTTCAGGTGGTCTCAGCATTGGGCCGAACCAGCAGATGAGTCCGGTTCTCGCTCGGGCCTGACACTGTTCAGATTTCACACCTCTAGTTCCCTCCCTTCTACCCCCTCCACACAAACCTATGACATGTATATACACATATTGAGTTTCGTGTAAAACCATCATAGGGCGTGTCCTCACTCAGGACTTCGACCCGCAACCTCCCCCAACAAAACATCCTTCTCCCCCCCAAAAAAGTAAGACAGACTCGATCCACCTGTTTTAATTTTCCCTTCAAACATCCCCCCCCCGGGTGAATTCCTCTCTCGAACCATCCCCCCCTCCCCCGGACGCCTGGGTCCACCCCCTCGCCCCAGCGCGGCAGAGCGGAGGTTATTTCAGCGCCGTGGCCTCGGGCGCCGCCTGGCTCAGCGGGTCTCCCAAGCCGGTGGTGAAGGCGCTGCGCAGGCCGCTCGGCACGCGAAGTGAAGGTGGCCGGGAGGTGGTGGCCGGGTGGCGCCGGGGTGGTCGGACGGGGTGCGCGAGGCAAAGAAGGAGCAGAAAGCTAGGGTTCCACAGGGGGTTCCAGAGACGTGGGCTTCGGAAAACCTCAATTAGGGGTTCAGAAAGACTCCCTCTCCTCGGAATCTGCATGGTCTCTCAACCTACATGTTTCTAAACTCTATGTTTAAAAGGTTGACAGGCGTCCTCTCAAATAGGAGCTTGCTTTGAATTCTACTGTCACGTAGTAGACCCTGGGTTTTTGATGACGCCATCATCATCCACTGTGTGGGCACTGGGACAAGCGCACTCCTCGGAGTCTTTTTCTCACCATTTTCCGCCGCATAGCAATCTAGGCAATTTAAAACGACGTCACCGACGTCACCCCGAAATAACGAGCAAGACACTGAAATTAAGTTGTAGTTATGGTCATACTAACATCACACACACACACACACGCAAAACACACACACACACACTTCATCGACTTCACAGTCCTGGCAGAGATTTTGGAGGCGCGGGCGGGCGTGCACAGAAAGGGTTTTGCAGAAGCCTATTCTACTAACGTCGTGGAAGGCGCGTGACCTTCGTAGAACCCAAGGCTGTTCGTGGACAGTTCGTGGAATGGTGGGCCAGTAGGAGAACTGACTGCAACGAAATCCCAGAAACCTTCGTAGAACTTCGTGGAAGGTAGGTATTTTGATGCACTAACTTCGTATAAGCGATTTTTGCTGACCCCCTTTCTCCACACACCCTCCGTTTAGCCTTCATCTAGGACTGGATTTGCATGGGGCAAGAGGATGTCAGTCAGTTTGAGTTTTGCTTGAGTTTTCGGGCTCGAGTTTGCAAACAAAAACTAAGAAGTCATGCCTGCTCACTCTCCACACCACTAAAAAAACACTACCCAATTTCGAGGTCAGGAAGTTTTGAAGTTCTTTTAGTTGTGCCCCATGAAGCGGCCCTCTAGCCATGATGAGTGCCCAACAACACCTACGGACCGCATTCTGCCAAGAATGTTCCCAAGCCCCAAAGCCTCTCAGAGACGGCGCATTCAGCCAGAGCTTGTGGACGAAAAAGATCCTTGGAACTTGAAATAGTAATGGTCTGGTTGTTTTCCCTTTCACACCCAACCTGACTTGTTCTTTCCTGGCAAAATCGTTTTCGGTCCTAGTTTGCCGAACTAGGATTTGAGGCCTGGCGGCCTTAAAAGTGGATTGTTGGGGCTTTATTAGGTTGTAGCTCGGCAAACTACGCTGGGAAAACATGTCTCTTGAAGCAAGATTTTGGGCCAGCCCACCGAAAGGAAACAGGGGGGGGCAGGGGGAGTCGAACCCATAAACTTTACCGAGGCCATAGGTGAAGTATGTGGTCGTGACACGAGTTTGATTCACTACAGGGGCTTGTTTCATGGCTACTTGTCGGGTTTCCACGTTCTGGGCCTGGAAACAAAGAAGCTCTCCTTTTCAGAAGGGCCCCCCAAAAACGATTTCGGGCCTAGTTCGCCGAACTAGGATTCGAGGGCTCGCGGCCTTAAGGTGGATTGTTGGGGCTTTATTTGGTTGTAGATCGGCGAACTACGCCCCCAACAATAGGTTTGGATGCAAAACATGTTCCCCCCTTTGTAAGAAGTAAAAACGCTTTAACAAACTAGGAATAAACAACAAGAAGCAACAAAACTGTTCCCTAACAAGGGTTTTCACTTGTAGTAAAGCGAACAACACCCCCAAAAATAGGTTTTGGATACAAAACATGTTTTCCCTTTGTAAGAAGTAAAAACGCCCTAGTTCAACAAACTAGGAATGAACAATTGGAAGGGACAAACCTGATCCCCAACAAGGTTTTCCCTCTGTAGTAGAACAAACTACACCTTCAAAAATTGTGTTAACCACAAAAGACCCACTGAAATCGCTCCAGTTCCATGAGCCAGGAAGATACAATAGGAAACTTTCCAACAACATGTTTCTGTACCAAAGAAAACCAGACCAAAAAATGTTTTGGACCCGTAAACCTTTCCCTTTACGACCAAAACAAACACAGCAGCAGAACCTAACCAGAGCCTTCTCACGCGCAGGTGGACACGTGGCTTCAGCTTTGGTCGCCCCTGGCTGGCCAGCGTGTTGGCTGGCTGGGGGCGTTAGCGCACACGACGTAATTTTTTTTTCGTAATTTAGACGACGTCACTAAATTTAGTTTTGAAAATAATGAAAATAACCAACCGACGACCTGGGAATTATTTTAAATTGCCCAGATAGCAATCGTTTAGACACAAATGAAGGAGATTGAAGGCAGATCAACAGACTTGGCGCAACTATATACTGTACGTTGCACTCTGATCCCGCTCACTGTGATGGAGATGAAATGGAATCCGTCAACCACAGCTTGATGCCGGAGGGAACCTGGTGCCACCCTTTTTCTAGTTGGTTGAGCATTTGAGTACTACGACCTATCGTGTCGGTCAGTCCACTTGGATCATCAGATGATGGCCACTTGCTCCACCCCATCCATATTTTTGAGAACAACAGCAGAGACCCTCAAAGTCATAGACCCAACAAAATTGGGGAACTTGGTCGTTCAACATCTGTTTTGTTTGCTTGTTTAGATGTATAGAATTCAAGCCTTCTTGGAATCTTACACCACCCAGATGTGGGTCGACCCTGGCGCCAACCTCAGCAGCAAGCACTCCAAGGGTTTGGTGGTCAGAGCGGCTGATCTCAGGTATGGCACCAACCTGGGGACTGCTTTGCAGCTGGCTCAGTTCCGAGAGGACGCAGCCTCACAGGCGCGAGGTTTATGGGCAAAATGGGGTGAGACACCACCCGGTGCCCTTGACGGGTTGTTGTGAGGTCAACACCTGCTCCGATTACATGGTGCACCTGGAGTTTCCTTTTTTCTTAGGTGAAGTGGAATCTGAAGAGCCCATTGATCCACTGGATGGGACTCGTTGGGATGGGACTCGTTGGATTCTTGATTCCATGCCGAATGGGAAGTCTTGCGAAGTGTGCTGAAAGTTATATATAAGGTTCCAGTTCCAGATCAAACACATGTTGACACCAGGTGGTTCTTCGTGCTCGTTTGAATAGTATAGCAGAGTTCTACTCACCTGAGAACACTGCCAAGAGTCAATAGAGGCGGCGGCCACTCACGCAAGGGAAGACCTTCATTGACGTCCCCCTCCGTGCCAAAGACCTTCAGTTTAGCAGCATGTTTCAACTTGCGCATGCGTAGCACAACGAACCGATCAAACCATCCAAGGCTGAGCGCCATCCAAGGCTGATAGCAGTCACCAAATGGCCCATTGGTTCCTGCTGGATACCCTTGGTGGGTTTGGAGTTGACATCAGAAGTTTGGTGTGACGTGTCGGTGTCGATCCCTCCGCCCTGGACCTTCCAGCTAGTCCAACTTCCACGGGATGAGCATTGTTGAATGTCCATGGCTTGCTTCCAATGGGCATCCTCCAGCTCGTTCCGCTCTTCGTCTTCCCAGGACGCGGCGCTGTGGTTGGCGCGCTCGGCGCAAGAGGCCTTGCGTGGTCCGGAGATGGCACAGCTCCAAGGCGCGAGGACGGTTGAGCTCAGCTTGGCGCCCACTGCAGTTCTCTAAGAGAGGTTGCAGCCGAACTAGGACCGGATTCCTTTTGAGGGGACAGATGGGAGAGGTTTTTTGGGCGGTTCAATTTTTTTTTTTTCTCTCTCTCTCTCTCTCTATAGGGTGGGGCATGTTGGAAAGTGGGGGTTCTGACTGAAGCGGTAGACCATGTCTTTCTGGACGGGAGAGATGAAACCGATGGAGACTGTGGACCCTCACCACTGAACGGGTTTGTTTGCAGGGCGGTCGCCCTCCCATTCTTGGAAGCATGGATAGCGTGTGCGTTCGGAACGAGAGTATTGATACCAGCATCTTCAAAGTCTGAGCCTTGCTGGACCTGGCATTGGCTTGAACATGGTTGAACTCGATTCTTTGAGGTGCTGCACTTGCGTGCCTTGCTTGCCTTGCTTGCCGCATAGTTTGCCGCATCTATCCTCGTTTTATGGGCCCTTTCTTCCGCCGTACTGCAGAGAATGCTCCCAAAGGCTTCCTCAGCTGAAATAGAGAATCTATATATATATCTATGGAGGCTTTTGTAGACTTAAAAGTCGCAGGTGGTGACCTGTTGGAGGGTCCTGGTATATAGTATATATATCCTGGTGTCTATTTCCACTATGAAATCAAGAGGACGTGTTGCAGATTTATAGAAATAAACCTCCCACAAAGTGATTACTATAAATTCACAAGCACAGGTTCAGGCATTGACTAGCAGGAACTTTTGGAAGAGAGCACAAGAGACTATGAATTGACGTCTATGATTCTATAGCAATCACATTTTTCATAGAAATTCTGGTTTTGACCACGCAGAGCAAACACCAGCATAATTCTATAGAGAGACTTGTGCCTGTGTGCCACAGAGACTGTAACTTTATAGTGAAATGATTTCATAGCAAAAAAAACTCATTTTCATCAATGTCTCTGAAATCATAGTGCACATTGATGGATAAAATATGCAACATGGCAACATCGATAAAATAACAAAGAAAATCATATAAATATTTTGACATTTTTTTTGATTTCATATTTACCTTTAGTAAAAAGACACATTTCAGTAGAACTTATAGTGTGTTGCTTTCTGTGTGTTTTTTTCAATCGTAACATATGATTTTATATTTGGGAAATTTATTGGACAATGTCGGATCGGAGTAGTCGGAATCTAACAGTGAGCCATCTGTGGTTGCATGGGAATAGCACCCATGGAGGCATCCAATGAGACCAATTGCAGGAGAAAAATCATGCATTGCGTGACTTGCTGCATTTTGCTGCTTTGTCCGATTTTGACAGATTGAATCAAAATTTACTATAGAATCTGAGCACGACTTGCTCTCCGGACAAATTTCTATTAAAAAAATCATGGAGGACATTAGATTTTTCTGCTTGTGCACCCCATTCTATACTGTGTTTTTGGGCACCTGGTCAATGTCTTTTTTCTACCTCCTGGTCCTTAGTAGAGTTGATTCTATAGTGATCTTTCTGTCTGATAATGAGTCAGGCCTTTGAATTTTATAGTGCTAAGATACCCCAGGCAGACATGCACCCAGCGATTTATAGCTATAAAATGGGGCGGACAAGCAGCTATGGGAACACACAAGGGGATGTATATATACTATTTTTTTTATATGCGCACGCACACACAAATACACACACACATATATATATATATACACACCATATGGGTCCGGACGGCCCAGTCCCACTACTTAGACGCCCCAGCCCCAGGATGGCCAAGGTGCTACACCCAATTCACCATGTAGACAACGTGCACATACATACACTCTTTCTTGAAGAATGAAGAAACAAAAAACACCAAAATCAAAACACAGTTCATGAAGAGGTTTTAGAATCCAACTGGTAGTCTACACATGACTTCTTCATCCACTTCGCAATTCACCACTTTGGCCTGCTCACTCACCTCTCACTGCTGTTGGACTCCAAACATGCCCCTCCAGTCATGGGCGATCACGCTCGCACCGGCGTGTGCTCCATTCTTTTTTGGGTCTGGTCTGAACCCGGCAGCCCTCCGCTTCCCTGGTCGTTTGTTCGACGCCTCGGTGCCCTGTGGTCGATTCGACCGAAGCGCTTTTGACCACGGGTCGCAGGTTCCGCCGCCTTGAAGGGCATCCGACGGCTGTGCCACCGAGTGGAACGCTCGTGCGCAGGCGCTTTGGAGGCTGGGAGGGGGCTGTGGACATCGGACCTTCGCGTCATGTAGGGGACACTCCTGGGAGGTCCAGTGAGTCTAGGGAGGTCCAGTGAGTCTAGTGTATTCCGTTGGAAACCCCTGCCTGAGGGTGCCGGTATGAGTGAGAAAGGTGATCACAGACTCAGATGGTCCAACTTCGGTCGAACAAGAATGACCAAGTAACAGATGCTGTCTCTTGGAGCTACGGATGCAAGAGAGTTCCGAACCAGAAGGATCCAAGGGCTGAACATAGGACGGGGCAACAGAGCACACAAGGAGGCTTGCCCAAAACAATGGGTTCTTGAGTGCATGGCTAGATGTGGCCCGATTTGATGAAGAAAGCGGACCTGCTGTAGGTGGCATGGTCGAACCGAAGACTAGTGACTATGGCATTTTGTTCCCATTAGTGCTCCTGTTTTATTCTACAAAATGTGCCCTTATCGCAGACAACTTGTGTGGTCAACAACAGATCCAAGCCCTTCGGGTCCAAAATCAATCCCCGATAAGGCTCCAGTCGTACCTTCGTTTCGATTGTGGGACTAGGTGCCAGGATGGTACACAGTAAAATTTCAGGAGCTGACACAATAATAGCAGTGAGGGAGTCCCTAGGGGTACATGTTTGTTTTCATGTTTTGTTCTCCACTCGAACGTCACTTGAACGCGATCATGGACGTCTTCTTCACGCCACGCTGACGCCAGGAGCTGCTGAGAAAGCCCGAAAACTCGGAGATCAAAGGGTTAACCTTTGCGGATGTGGAGTCGATGGAGCGCATGAAGCTGGGCGAAGCAACCGATTCTTTTTTCAGACGTCACAGACGCCTAGAGAGAGAGAGAGAGAGAGATGCATGAATCCGCATGAACAAGTACCTCTTCAGCTCTGTGCGCATCGATGCTCGGACAGGGCTCGCACTTCTATCGATGGGCTCTACGGTGCCGAGGCTGGAGGAGCTCTACGTGCGCCCCGACGAGTCCGGCGGCGGGCGCACCTTCGAGCTGGAGGGCATGGGCTTCCGACGGGACCAGGCCGTGGGCGTGGATAGAGCGGAAGGTGGAAGGTGGGCCGGGCGGCTCAGGGCAAATTTGGAGGCCATAAGAGCTGTATTCCAAAATGCGAGCACCAGAGTTTCGCGGACCCTAAGGAGGTGGCTTTTAGACCCCTAAGTCAGTGGATGTTCTGGGCACCCCTGTCCTCCGTTAATATGGAACATGTAGTCTGGCTGGACGTCCGGCCCCTGGGGTCTGAGCTCGGCCGCGACGCACGTGCCCAGAGGCCAGCGACGATGGCCTTCAGGCGCTCATTGCGCGCGGCTTGGCGCAGGACGCCCTACCGGAGCCGCAGGAGCCTGCGCCCAGCTGGCCGCCCCAAGGGCCAAAGGCGCTAAGTGGTGCTTTCCACGTGGGACCATGTGGCACAGGGTCGGTGATTCTATGTGATTCTTACCTCAGCAATTCATTGAACAAAACATGCCCGCTGTTCGGTTCATCTTAACTTGGGAATTGCTTGGGTTAGGAGGGAGAGCCTGAGATAGATGAAATGATTAAGACGCAGTTCCTTACTGAATCATCATCAGAGCTGCAAGCCGTTCTTGGTGGGTTTGATTTCCCAGACATGAGAAGGCCAGTGAACGTACGGAGAATTCAGTCTATTACAGCCTGTTTGGCGACCAAGCAGCTTTACTTGTACTTTCTGGTTTGGACTTTCCAGTGCTGAAGTCCAAGTGCAGCATGGAAAAAACCAATAGCTCGAGGCTCGAGCTTGGCTTTTGCGCTTAAGCTAAGTATTTCTGCAAGTTCCCAGGTTTTTTTTCGTTTTCCACACATGTCGGGGTTGAATGCTCAAGACTTTTGTTTCTATACACTTTGGCATTCTTTCCAGAAATTCAAGGAGTTCACACAAGCCCCAGGGGTGTCTATGGCGCCCAGTGAATCACGCACCAATTTCACTGTCGCGAACTGGACACGTTCCGGGAACTGGACACGTGAAAAGGCCGTACAAAAAGGAAGACCAATCATCCAACAACGTGACACACGTGAACAAATCGGGTGAAAGGCATCTAAAAAACACATATCTTCTTGGGGCCCCCCGGGTCAGGGGTGTCCAATTCTAGCTCCGAACAGAGGTGACTCGGGATGTCCATGAAGCACCCCTGGGTGGGGGGACCAGCCTTAGTGATAGTGATAGATCCTGCAAATTGGGACTTGAGATATTAAACGATCCTTGGACTGGCTGGTTTCAACTCAAGTATTTGGTTCTTTGGCGTCAGACGCCCTGGGCGCGCCCAAACCTAAGTCACGGGGCCTGGGCCCCGGATCGCGGTCGATCAGGCCGGCCTGCAAGTGGCATCGACGTGTGTCGGTCAGGCGCGGTCGACCGGGGCAGTAGTAAGGGTCGGAGGGGTGGCAGGGCTTAGTGTTTTCGAATTGAGGGGACCTTCCAAGGCTTGGAGATGTAGAACCCTTCTGGTACGGGAGTTTGATGAATCAGATACTTTAAGTATCACCAAAGTTCCAACAGGTACGCCGCCTGACAGCGTGAATGAGTCCAACCTGACAGACACAACCCGCCCCAGAGACCGCCCACCAGTGAGACTGTCCTAGACCCGCAGGAGTTGGTCGCTGTGAACAGCAACCTGGACGGCGAACGGCTGGCGCGGCCGGCGTCCAGCGATCTGGTGTTACGGCTGAAGATCAGGTGAGGGAGGAGAGGTGACAGATGGTGACAGGCAGGTGGAGGCGCGTTCACATGCAGCGGGCCAGCAAGTGGCGCTGATATGTGCTGATGAAGTGAAGTTCAGTGTAAGTTCAGAAGTTCCATTCACATCCTTTTTGGATGTCATCATTTGGATACTTTGAACAGGACTACCAATTTATACCTACGACCTACGAGTGTGCCCCAGACTCCCTAGACTAGATGTTGCTGGCAGATGAACATGACAGCCTCCAACTGTCCATCAAACGTGGTTTGCCTGACACCTTCGTAGAGCTTTGTTGAGCATTTGCACGTGGTTTTGGAGATGGTTGGTGGATGTTGAGGGGTCCAGCATTCCCACTGGAATCTATGACATTCTATGACTTCATTGACCCTTTTCAACCACCCCAAGGTTTGTATATCAATATAGTGATATATATATATATTGTGTATATATTATATTATATGTGAGGCATATGCACATGTAAATACCGTATGTGTATATAGATATGCCAGTCCCATGGAGTGTCCAGGATTGGGGCGGGGGGCATGTGTGCCACCCTGCTCAGTGCCGAGCGTACCAAAGCGTAGCTCAGGTGCGGGAAGAGGTCGTGAGACTTTTTCAGTCAGGCCCTGTGACAGGGGCCACAAGAGCGGGGTGTGTGAAATGTCACAAGAGTGTCATAGCTTTTAGCAAGTCATAAGATCCCCCCGAGCTTCATTCAATCTGTCGGAGCTCACTAGTTGGGAAGATCTCCTTTGCCCTAATGAGACGGGACAAACACCGAAGGAGTCGATGGGAGTTGAAAAAGGTCCTATGTCATGTGCCTCTATCTATGCCAAAACTATGCTCCACAACATTTATCTCACTAGAGCAGAACATGTCCCACGTTCCATTTCAAGTGATTGCTATTTGTTAGTTCAACGGGGGTACCTTCTTGCAAGACCACGGAAGATGCTTTAAATAGCACTGACCAACGTGCAAATTCAGCCCGAAGAACGGCCCCCATGAGGTAATAGGTACCGAAGGCCTGCTGGGTCCGCTCAAACTGGAAAGGATTTCTCCGCTCGGCATGTCACGAAAGGTAGCCCATTACGGGATACCTTGAGTTTGTCTTGCGAAGCAAGTGTTGGGACGTCCGGGTCTAACAATTGATTGCTCAATTCAGCCCCCCCCCCCCTCGAATTGATTTTTCAATACAGACCCCCCCCC